ATTCTCAAATTTATCTCACCAAGCAAAACTAATCTTAGATGATAAAACCAAATAAGAAATGTACTTACTGTGATTTCATCGCCTGGTTGATGGTTTCTTTCACAAACTTGAACCTGCAAAGGCATTGGTTAAGAAATTAACTTTACAACTATCACATACCAACCTAGAGAATTCAAAGAGCTCCGTACTGGAGCCACATACTAACCTCTGAAATTCCCCGGTCATTGAGAAGATTGTATAGCTGAACACAATAATTCTCTGTGCACAGAGCAGCTACGCCAGAAGATCTATCAAAAGCAACAGTACTAGCCAAGCCTTCATACATCTTAGGCAATGACGGGGGAGGCTGAAAAGCAAGAACACACATTTACGTAAATACCAAATAAAAGAGAGGTTAATACTTACACCAGTTGTGATATTTTCTACAAGACAAAGACGAGAAAACATTGCCCAAACCGAAAAGAAAGGTTTGCAGATGCTTCTAAAGACGAACCTTGATTCCAGTAATGGTCCTTAAGATCTCCATGGAAGGCATTTTAAGTAAATGGATCTGATTATCTGAACAAACCACCTGCAGCTCTTGTTATAAGCAGAACATTCCAATTCTTGCTAGATCAGATTGAAAGAGTAAGCTCCGACTTACAGAAGAAAGAGTTGGATCTGGTGACCAGATGAAATACAACAAGGGAGACCCTATTCTTGGTAAAAATTTCTTCTTCCCTGTGTCAAGCTTCCAAACGACAAGTACCCCTTCCCTTCCCCCTAAAGAGACAAGAACACAAACGCAACATAGCGTAAGAACTCAGGACACACCTTTCAAAACAGTAACTTCGTTTATATCTGAGAATAACTCAGCCGCACCTGAATACAAGTATGCTCCATCGGAAGAGAAGTTAAGGACATTAACTTCAGCAGAATGCCAATGCCACGTGGTGGAAGATTCAGCATCATCTCCATCTCTCACCCCAGGGTTGTCCAAATCAACCACCGATCTCAGATTCTTCTTTTGACTACCCAATGCAAGTTTCCTATTACCGAACCCTCTCCAAATCAACACTCTTCCTGTTACATCTCCAGCAGCTATGATCCTCTCCGTGGGATGAAAAGCAAAAGCGTTGATAACCTTAGTGTGATGCAATGTCATCTTCTTGGAAACTGCATTCCTTGTTGACCCTCCAGAAGTAACAGTATCCCATACATGGATCTTGCACTTGTGGAGGATTCCGAAAAACTCTCCAGAGGGACTAATAACTATAGACTTTGGCTCTTCCGTCTACACAAGAAGATAAAAGCAAAAGGATTCTAACTCATTACTCACCAGTCCAATAAAAAAAACTCAATTAAAAAGCAGCTGACCTCTTTCAAAGTATCTCCACGAGGAAGACGCTCTTTAGCTAAGTTAAATCTCCGGATATGTCCACGCAACTCTTTGGAACCTTCTTTAACAAGACTTGCATCCTCAACAGAAACATAAGCTACTAACTTACTTGAATCAATTAGGTGAGGCTCACTCAAAAGAGAAGGAATGACCTAGAAACAAAACAAGACACAAAGTAATCAACTTTATGTTATCAATGCCCAAAGTAATCAACTTTGTTACTTTACCATGGAGTAAATGGGAACATGGGCATCAATGGTTTTCAAAAGCTCAGGTCCTGACAAGTCCCAATGACGAATTGTACCATCAAGAGAAGCAGTCCAGCAATAACATAGGATCTTTTGAGCAGCAGTCGAAGCAGGAACGACAATTAGAGTAGTCACTGGAGCTGTGTGGCCTTCAAGGGAAGTAATCTAAACAAAACACAAAAAGAGAGGAAAATCTGTGAATAAATAAATGAAGAAACGTTGAAAAGATTGAGAAAAAATGGTAACCTTTAAGCCAGTGGCGACGCTGAAAACGGAGACAGTGTTTCCTGTGCAGACAAGAAGCTTCTTAGCGTCGTTGGAGAAGGAAGGAGGTGATGCCACGTAGCTGCTACCGCCGCGAATCATGGCTTTCAGATTTGACAGAGGGGCGGAGAAGAAGAAGAAGAAGACGGACGAGCAAATTTGGTTTCTTAAAGCCCTAAACCCTTCTTCGTGTGTTTTCGATTAAAATCGGAAAATAGTTTTAAAATGTTGTAAAAGAGAGAGAGATTTGTGTGTAAATTATGTATTTTATTATTAATCATATATTATATATATATATATATATGGGTTACAATACATAGTAAAAAGTAATGTATTTTATTTTTGTCAAAAAATAAAATATCTAAATCATAATACAACAAGGAATAGAACAACAAAAGGAATAGGAAAATAATCAATATAAGGAAAATGTAATATAGCTTTGGGCGCCTATGTCTATTGGGTCCTAAAGGCATATCGTCTATAATCTAAGGTTATAGGTCATCCATTACATGATTCATAACACTTTCCTTTGGATGCCATAAGTTCGTAACCATACAAGGTTTGTAACATGTTTAATGTTACCTCATTAAAATATTTACCAGGAAAACCCTATTGAGACAAAACCATAAACCATGATAAAGGAAAGAGTACAATACACATTATTCCCCCTGATGAATGCATTACCAAAGGTCTTTCAGTCGATGCATCCCAATCTTATAAATCAGTTTCTTGAACCTCGAGGTTGGCAAGGACTTAGTGAAAAGGTCGGCTGAGTTATCACTGGACCGTACTTGAACCTCTTTAGCCTTTTGCATATCGTGAGTAAAGAAGAACTTGGGCAATATATGCTTCGTCATATCTCCTTTTATGTATTCATCTTTGAGTTGAGCAATACAAGCTGCATTGTCCTCATAGATGATCGTTTGTTCATCTTTTCCCACGGCCAAACCACTGTCCACACGAATATGGTTGGTTATAGACCTCAACCTGACAAGTTCACGACTTGCCTCATGCATTGCTAAGATCTCTGCATGGTTGGACGATGTGGCTACAAAGGTCTATTTCATGGATCACCAACATACTGCAGTTCCACCATGTGTGAAGACATATCCGGTCTGAGATCTAGCATTATGTGGATCAGATAAATATCCTGCATTTGTATATCCAATCAATTTTTTTTGGACGATTGGTAAAGAATAAACTAAGATCTTTGGTTCCTTGCAGATACCGTAGTATGTGTTTAATCCTGTTCCAGTGCCTTATGGTCGGACAAGAGCTAAATCTAGATAGTAAATTCATGGCAAAACAAATTTCTTGTATAGTGTGGCTAGCCAGATACATTAAAGCTCCAATGGCACTGAGGTAAGGCATTTCTGGACCAAGGACTTCCTCGTCCTTCATCTTTGGTCGGAACGGGTTCAGTTCCGGGCTTAGGGACCAGACGACCATAGGTCTCGAAAATGAGTGAGCCTGGTCCATATTAAACTTCTTTAGTACATTGTTTATGTACTCAAGCTATAATCCCAAACAACACTTTGTTTTTTCTAAATCTTTCATCTCAAACTCTTTCTTGAGATATTCAACTATTTGGGAAATCTCTCCAGAGGTTCTTATGATATTCAGGTCGTCCACATATACTGCTAAGATTACCAAACCCTTATTTTCGAATTTCTTTATAAAGATACGTGGACTTATTAGATCATTCTTATAGCTCTCTTTCACTAGGAACTCACTTAGTCTATTGTACCACATTCGACCGGATTGCTTTAATCCATACAAGGATTTATTCAGCCTTATGCAATGATGTTCTCGAGAACCTTTCTTATCTTTGAGCTCAATACCCTCTGGAACTTTCATATAAATCTCATTATCCAGTGGACCATACAAATATGCAGTTACTACATCCATTAGGCGTAAATCCAAATTTTCTTTTATGGCCAGACTGATTATAAATCAAAATGTAGTTGCATCCACCACATGGGAATAAATTTCCTCATAATCTATTCATGGTCTCTGTGAGAATCTTTGTGTAACAAGCCGTGCTTTATATCTCACTACTTCTACATTCTCATGTCTTTTCCTCACAAAGATCCATTTGTGTCCAACTAGTTTGACATCACTTGGTGTCAATATTATAGGGCCAAAACGCATCTTTCTTTAATGATTCTAACTCCACGTTTATAGCTTCTTTCCATTTGATCCAATCTGATCGTTGAGTGCACTCATATATGGACGTGGGTTCTTGATCCTCATTTATGAAAATATATCACCGAGCTCGATTTCTTTTCGGTTCCATTGTATTTCAGACATGATATAGTTTATAGAGATCTCATTATTATCCGGACCTTGTGTACCATGAAGCTCAGCGTCCCGAGCCCCATCGATTGGCACAATCGGCCTGACCGGTTCAGTCGGCACGGCCGGCGAACTTGGCTCGACCAATTTGGTCGGCACGGCCGGCCCATCCATGTTCTGGACGGTTCCCATGGTTCCCTCGGATTTCCGAGGGTTCTTTTCTTTAAAACCATTTGGTCTACTATGTTTCAAACGTTATTTAGAATCTGTAACAACTTGACTTTGTCCCTCTTGGACTTCTATTCTTATTGGTGCATTACAAGCCGGGATGTATGACTTAGTCACTCTATTTGGGTCAGTAAATGAATCTGGCAACTGATTAGCTAGATTTTGTAAATGTATAATCTTTTAGACTTCTAAATCACATTCTTTAGTCCAAGGATCTTTCCAAGATATTGATTGTTGAGACCATTCGATTTCTTTAACCAACCGGCTATTATCTCCCCCTAAGGTCCGATATGTGGACTCATCAAAGTGTGAGTCTGCGTATCTGGCCTTAAATAGATCACCCGTAGTTGGCTCAAGATACTTAATAATCATTGGGGAGTCATATCCAACATATATTCCCATCCTTCTCTGTGGTCCATTTCAGTTCTCTGTGGTGGACCAATTGGAACATATACAGCACATCCAAAGGTCTTAATATGGGATATATCTGGCTCATGACCCGTAAGTAATTGGGATGGTGAATATCTATGATCACTAGATGACCTAATGAGAATTAACTCTGCTGCATGTAATACTGCATGTCCCCATGCTGATACATGGAGTTTAGACCTCATGAGTAATGGTTTACCTATCAGCTGTATGCGTTTAATAAAAGATTCGGCTAAGTCGTTCCGTGTATAGACATGTACCACAGAGTTCTACACTTACCCCCATGGATATACATTAGTCATTAAACGCTTGGGACGTGAACTCACCAGTATTATCTAGACGTATAGTCTTTAAAGGAAAATGTGCTCTCAGTCTTATAATCTGAGCAAGCAGCCTTGCAAATGCCAAATTTCGTGTGGATAATAGGCAAACATGCGACCATCTGGTCGATGCATCTATCAGGACCATGAAATATCGATATGTCCCACTAGGTGGGTGTATTGGTCCACATATATCTCCTTGAATCCTTTACAGAAAATTTATCATTTCCTTATTAACCTGTACTAGTGATGGCCGAGTTATGAGTTTCCCTTGTGTACATGCTACACATGTGAGATTCTTTGGGATAACTCTCTTTATTTTGTGCCCTTGAGAATTCATTAACATTTTACGCATCATGCTAGAACCGGGATGGCCAAACCAGTTATGCCATAGAGTAAAATTTTCGCAGGCATTAGCCTCGATCATACTGGTCTTTGCATAGTATAGACCAGTAGAGATTGCAGGTATGGTCTCTAGGACTCTCTTATTGTCTTGGACGTTTTCAAACATAATAAGGAACTCTTTATTTCCTTCGTCCTTTTTTTGAAGGTGGAAACCGTTTAATCTTATATCCTTGAAACTCAATAAGTTCCTTTCGGAACTGCGTGAATATAAGACATTAGAAAACTCTAGATGAGTGTCATTAGGCATCAATAAATAAGCCTGGACGTGGCTTTCAATAAGGCTGGTCGTACCCGCAATCGTTTGTATATTGGCATTTTGCATTGTGAGATTGATGAAATATATTTTGTCACTAAGAATTGTGTGGCTTGATCCACTATCCACCACAAGTATACTCATCTCATCTTTCATTCTATAAATAATCATAATCATAATCTCAGAGACTTTTATAAATAAAACTTGCATATTATTAAAATCAAAACATCAAACAATAATAGTAATTTTCAAAAACAAGAAAACATAGAATCAAAGAAACAAACAAGATGTCGAAATTTTAGTTTTTTAAACAGTCTGAGGTTTCATAATCATCTTGACCATCATGGCCTTGGTCGAAATCACCATTCTCATCTTGGATCATATGGGCTTCAGGGTTCTTGCCTTTCAAATTCTCTTGATAGAGATCACATAAGTATTTGGAGTTCTGCATGTCTTGGCCCAATGATTTTCCATTCCACATCTGTGGCAACGTGATTTGGTCGAGTAAGATGGCTTAGATATGCCACCTCGACCGCGGCTGTAACCGCCTCGTCCACGGCCATGACTGGGACCACGAACACGGTTATTATGGTTCCCTTGTCCACGGCCGTACGAGCCATAATTGCCTCGACCACCACGTCCTCTCCATCCACCACGGCCTCGACCGTATGGTCTATTATCATAGACGTGGTTGCTTTCTTTGGAATCTTTAATTTCTTGTACAGCCTTGTTGGCTTCTGGTAATGGGGCTGATCCAGGAGGTCTCATCTAACTATTCCTCACCAATAACTCATTGTTTGTCTCTGCCTGGAGTAGGCACGAGATCATATCACTGTATGTGGTGAAGCCTCTTTCTCTGTATTGCTGTTGCAGAAACACATTACTAGAATGGAATGTGGAGAATGTCTTTTCTAGTAAATCTTTCTCAGTCACTTCTTCACCATATAGTCTCATCTGTGAGACAATCTTAAACAAGACTGAATTATATTCATCCACTGATTTATAGTCTTGGAATCTAAGATTTCTCCACTCATATTTAGCCTTTGGTAATAATACCGTTTTCTGGTGACCATATCTCCGCTGTAAGGCGGTCCAAAATGTCTAGTGGATTCTCCATAGTCAAATACTGATCTTTGAGACCTTCTGCAAGATGGTGACGAATGATACTTATT